CCCCCCTGTCGCGGCTCGTCTCGCTCACCATGGTCTCGCTCCTTCTCGTACGACGTGACGGCGACATCCTCGTGCTCCTCGTGCATTCGTTGCCCCGCTCGTCACGGCGGTGGCCGTCACCGTCACTCGTCACTTCTTCCACTACTCGTCTCGCTCGCGCGCCTCCTTGCATTAATCGCCCGCCAGGACTGAACCAACTAACCAACTTCTTGAAGTTGCGGCTGCGTTCGATCGCTCCTCAACATTTCGTTTGACGCTTTGGCTCCGGCTGGCTCCGGCGGCACCGGGCGCGGGATCGTCGTGTCGGTCACGGGGCGCATTCGACGCGCTGCATTGGTCAGGCCGCCGAGGCTCCAGCAGCGCAAGGTCAGGTGTGTGCGCCGCCGTCGCCAGGTCCCGCCCCGCCCGTGCGCCCCTCCGGATGGATGTGTTCTTCTCCGGTCCCATTCATTCATTACACGCTGCAGTGTGCCTGCGGTGGAGGCGCGCTCTTTTGGAATATTTTCCAGTTTTGTGTTTTGTTCCGTTCCGGGCCCTCCTCGCGGTTCTTCGGTTCGCCGCCGATCAGAGAGCGCGCGGCCTGAAAAGGGTATTGGCTCTGGACGCACATCCTGGCTGTCAGGAGTGGAGCCAGTGAACCGGCACCGCCCTCCCCGACCCGGCCCGACACCCCCTCCTCCTCCTGCCCCTTGCAGTGCAGCCCACTTCCTAGCGCTGCCACTAGATGGCGTGCGGGGCCTTCCCTGCTTGCTCCCCTGCTATGCCTAGTAGAGAGACTATACCCTATGCCGGCAGATGGGGCCACAAGGAAAGCAAAAGGCGCGCACGACGGTACTTCCCCCACCCCCACCGCACCGGCTGCCGGGCACGATGGTTCCAGGAAAGAAAAAAAAACAATTTCGAAATTCATTTTAATATGAGGTAAAACAGTACACACCAGCTACATATACAACGTACAAAGTTTACAGAAAATAATCTATCGACCCAAACTGTACTGTACATAAATACATTTTGCATTATCTATTCCAATACAAATTAATTGAGCATTTTCTAATTACAATGTCCAGTTTATACAACACTGCATAGATACATCTCTCTAAATACATACTTACAATGGGACCACTTACATAGGCAAGTATAAAACTAGCATACAAAAGAAGCCTTCAGTAGTACTATACAATTATATACTAGTTTCTCTGAGCTGGATGCAGATGGGCAATTCACACACATCACTTTTGTGAGATTATGTTTTCAATAAAGACTGGAAAAGGCAAATAACATTTAGAAGATTGCATTCAGCAAGATCTGGATGGACTTTGCTGTATTCAGTATGGTGGGTCTCCCAGGTTGTGTGCTTTCCAGCAGGCATAAAGACAAACAAGGTAATTTATCTTAAAGTTTCAAAGAGTAAATTATTACAGGAATAATTTACTTTTGGTCTGTTTTCTGAATTTTACCAATTCCTTGCCGTCATAATAAAATATATATCATGATATGTCATGATCGCCCATTCATCTCTTGTAAGTATGTTATGGTACATCCCTTCATACATCTATTAAAATGGCACCAAATTTTGTCTTAATGACCATACCACAGAAGCATTCTTACAAAAAGAATACCAAGACACAATAGAACACCACACATACATCTGCTCACATTCATACAGTATTAAATTAAATAGAACTACGTCTTTCATAAGATGTAATAAATGTTTTTTTTTTGTTTCTGAGCCCTGGTGGCTTCTATACCAGGCTATATAAATTTTTATAGGGCAACAATTTTGTACACAATTTTGATTTATAATTTCCATAGACATCAATTTGCAAGAAAGTGACAAAACAAAAACATAACGAACTTTAAAGAAATGTTTCCTAAAAAATAATTTGGTGTTACGCATGTCATTCCCCCAAAATGGAAAAGTAAATGATAAGAACTAGAACATAAAGTAGAACAAAATCAACAGTTTAAATAAAGATTCTTAAAAGAACAGAAAACAACTTGTTTAACAACTCAACAGAAAAGATAAAAAGATTTATCAACAATAACATTCAGTGATCAGGTACATAGATGTACTTTACAGCATTAAAGATTGAAGAGGTCACCATGAAAAATAACGTTAGTACAATTAAAAAGAACAGGATGAGAAGGGAGAAAATAAAATCAAAAAAATATTCACCAGGATGATAAATCATGCTGTAAAGCTGACAATATTTTCCACTAACAGATACTAAATGAAGCCTCACAACAAATTAATAATACTACTACCAGATCCTACACCTAAAATATGCACCCCTCCATCTGCAGTGAAAATCTTAATGCAATCAGGTCTGAAAAAAATTGATGACTCAACTTACAGGCTGGGCAAGTTTGCTGTTTGAAGGATTGAAACTGATTGGTCGGTACCCTTTGTTTTTATTCCTGCCAAATGGCTGAAGACCCAGGAATGTACTTGTAGATCCTTCAGGCTGCAAAATAAAGATGATACAAGAAATAAGATTTCAATAAGGTACCATTGTTTTTGAAATACAAGCACATAAGAGGCAGTACATACTTTTTCAATATTCTCCTGCTGATTGTTACTTTCTTTTGAGTCTGTTAAAGGTGGAATCTCCTGAACTTTTTCAGCATGGTCTACATCAATAGCAAAGCTAGTGGCTGAATCAATGTCTTGAACTGGGGTGAGACTGCGACTTCGAGGAGGACTTGATATTGGACTTTGTTGACGCTTCTTTTCCACTGCTTTTTCCAACAGGGGCAAAGCATTTATTCCTGGGGAAGCTGGTCTATTATCTCTTGAATACAAAGCAAACTGGGGCTCAGGACTGCAACGAAGACTTCCTTGCCGGCTGAGGGAGGGGTTTGAATCACAGCTGCTGTGGTTACCTTGAGGACTGGCCGATCTAGAGAAAAATTAACATGAGTAGCAAAATTAATATTCAGTTATCAGAAAAGAAACTGTAAGAAGAGGTGTGAGAGAGAAAAGTGAGAGCTAGAGGACAGTGAAGATAACACCAGAGAATGCTGAAAAGAGAAAAAGTCACTCAGAAGATTTAAACAGTTTGTAATTATTGATAAACTATTGGAGATAAGTACACACCGCAAAGATCATTATCACTACTCCTAGGAAAAAAATATTATTGAAACAGTTAGAATGAGAGTTAAAGGACCACACCTCTGCATTTTAGCACAGCATTAGTCAAAATAAAAATACGTATCTAGGTTGTGTAATGCCCCAGTAAACTGTTTTACAAAACAGGAAGCCTTCAAAACACAAACCTTAAATACACCATCATGCAAAATTAAGGCAAAAATAAAATGCAACAAACCACATTACCAAAACCTCTACAGTACTGCCTGAGAGTTAAAAACATAAAGCATGACATTACTTAAAAAGATTTGAAACTAAGAAAAATTACAGATCTTATCCAAAGCAATCAAAAATGTTAGGTAAAAATAAAGAAGCAATGTAAACTACCTTGTCCCCCTACAAATAAAATAAATGATCTAGAACTTGACAACTAAAAATATTAAGAGAAGAAAATGTTACAGACAAAAATCTATATGACATCAAGATGGGTTTGACTCCTGTAGGGAGCACACTTCCTAAAAGTAATTTTCAAACACATCTAAAACACTTGTCTCTGTGATTTAAACCACTAATAATATAGACTGTATGGCAAGGGTCCTCCATGTAATCTATTCTAATAGAAAATTAGATATAATATATTAGTCCGTAAGAAAGAAATAGAAAGTTTGAATTAAGGAGAAAATCACAGTATAAAGTGTGTGAAAGGTGCGAAAAAGATAGATAATCTTTTTTAAATGTACACAAACCTGTAGACCTGATCCTTGCCTTCTGCATGTGATGTGGCAGACAGTTGATAATGACGTTGAATGTTGACTAGTTAAATGATTAGCAGAACTCCATCCCACTACTTCTAAAACCTGTGTGAGACATACAATTGTAACAACATCACCCACTTTTATATACAGCTTGTAGCAATCATCCAATAAACCAAGCATCTGGTTCTGTTCCTCTAATTATGTACAGACATTAATTTACTGTATTTTGTCCTCTAATTAATTGGTACCCAGAAACCAAAATGCTTTGTTTATTATTCCAAGGCATACAGCCAAACACCGTCTACAGAACATGCTTCCAATCCAAACATAGATTGCTACTCTTAATCAGTTCAAAATCGTGTATATAAATTAAAAACTTGTATATATTTCCAACCAGAAACATGTACTTTAGTGAGGCAGTAGCTACCGTACATGTACGGAACAAATTTTCCTCTTTTAGATTAAATATAACCCACTGCACCCTCCAAATATAAGTATGTACCAATTCTCAGCACCTCTCACCCATACCAAGTGTTAAGGGGCTATCATGCAACCAAAAAGAAAATTCTATTACACTCACCTCAACCATAACATATTATATAATTTCACCCCAAAGAAAACTACAGAAATTATTAATGTTTCTGTTTCCTAGTTTCCAATATACTGTAGCTAATAAGTTACCTGCTCCTCTGTAGGTGTGGCTGTGGCCTGTAGTAGCCTGCTCCTTGTCGAGAAGTTGGCCTTGTATTAGGCTGTGATAGCTCAGAGTCAGAGCTCGCCAAGGACCGTCCACCAAGTGGCACAGTACCATGAGCAAAATCTCGTCGATAGTTGTCCGACGAAGAGGATCGAGGGGTGGATATTCCACGTTCAGACTCAACAAGAACAGAGACGGGGGCTAAAAATAAATATTTAAAATAAAAGTTACGATAGAGAGATTAAATCTTAAACAATAAACGCATCAAAACTAATCTCAGGGTTGGACTTACTTGAATTGTGATGGTGGTTTGCCACATAGACAGGAGTATTTTTGGGTATGTCAAATACTGCCTCAGGATGTACAGTATTCCTCTTCACTGCATTCGGCTCCGCTCCACTATGCAATGAATCCAGGCTGGGGTCCAGTAATCTGCAGCTGAATGGGAAGAAAGTTCGGTTTCAAATTTTCATTTTCTCTGTGTGTCGCGCAGAGGCGTTGGGGCGCACTGGCTCACCTCGACGGCCGGTAGTCCCTGTACTCCCTCTGATTCTGGCGGTACTCGCTGAGCACCTGGGTGCCGGGCATCCCCGGCCCGCCCGGCGAGCTCTTGTGGTCCGAGGCCATCTTGCCGTTGGAGGCGGGGGAGGCCGGCGCGGGCGCGCCGTCGGGCTCGGCGCGGTGCCTGTTGGGCCCCGGGAGCGGCGCGTCCTCGCCGACGGAGCGCCAGTCCACGGGCAGCGAGCTGTACGGCCCCGGGCCGGCGGACTCGTTGTGCTCCTCCAGGTTGAAGAGGCGCAGCTGGTGCCGGATGTTGGCCTTCTCCCGCGCGCGCTTCCGCTGGAACTCCTCCTCCACGCGCCGCATGGCCTCCAGCTCGCTCAGCCGCTGTTGCTCTGTGGGCAGAGAAGAATAAAATGAGCCCACCCCTTGCGTATTGATAAAGTCAACCCGTATGCACGCGTGTACTGTAGTGCGTAGGGTAGTATGGCGCCAACGGTGCTAGTATGTGGAAATGCAGCCTCGCCTCGCACACCGCCTTAGTTAGACTGCATGGCATGCATGCATGCTTGCGGGTTGCCTACCCGGCAGACCACATGGCGCGTTGGTCAGGAGTCGTGAACCAGGTTCGTCACCCTCACCTTTTAGCTCGGCGTCCTTGGAGAGCTTCTCGGCGATGCGCCTACGCTCGATCTGGCGCAGCGTGCTCTGGAAGGTGAAGCGCTTGGGGCGCAGCTTGCGGTCCAGGGCCTTGCGCACGTCGGCGTGGTAGCGGTCCCGCTGCTGCCGCTCGCGCTGCGGCCCCGGCGCCGGCTGCGCCTGCTGGTCGGGCGAGGGCGAGTGCGAGGGCGACGGCGGCGCGCTGCCGCCCAGCTCGCGCATCTCGCGCTGCGGCGCCCGGTGCCCGTTGAGGAGTCCCGTGGTCACCGAGTCCCGCGGCCGGTCGCGCTCCCGGCTGCGGCTCACCTCGGCGCTGCGCGACCGCTCCCTGCCGGACAACAAGCATGGCGTTAGTGCCTTGCAGGATCGGGGGAAACAAGGGGGGAGGTGAAGGGGGTCACTCTTCCCACCTCTGGTCGCCGAACCTCTTGTTGTTGCTGAAGTCGGGGAGGTACATGACGTGGCCGCCGGTGGCCAGGTACGAGAAGCTGGGCTGCTTGAGCACGTCCCGGAACAGGTTGTCCTCGTGGTCGGCGCGGTCGCGGTCCTCGCGGTCCGGGCTGGACGGTGACTCCCTGCTGCCGGGGCTGGTGCGCCACGCCTCGGGCGCCTGCAGGTTGAGCGAGCTGGGCACGCTGCGGCTCAGCAGCCAGTTGCCGTCCAGCGGCCGGCCGCGGTCCGGCGCCCCCGAGTCCACGTCGTCGGCCTGCTCCCGGCGGCCGCCGATCCCCAGGGACCGGCGCACGTTGCGCAGGCTGTGGAAGGACAAGGAGGCCTCGTCGGGCGGCGTGAGCGCGCTCCAGCTCTGCGGAGGGTAGAGATCGAGGTTCTAACACCGGCCGGGCAGCTGAGACAAGATTAATTTAAAGTCGGGGATTTACCTTATTGCCGTCGAACGCGGCGCTGTACTGCGACAGCTGGTTGTCGCGGGGGAGGGACAGCGAGAACAGGTGCGACCGCGGGGAGAACTTGGCGGGGCCCGGCGTCCTGTGGGGGCCCAGCCCGAGGCCCAGCCCCAGTCCCAGCCGGCTCGCGTGGGGAGACACGGGGGACTCCAGGTCGCCGTCCGAGCTCGACTCCTCGTCGCCCTCCAGGTCCTGCTGCGGCGTCCACGCCACCACGAGCGACTTGTTGGCTGGGCCCGCCTTCCTCGGCAGCCCCTGCAGTCCCTGCAGTCCCTGCAGTCCCTGGAGGCCCTGTAGCCCCTCGGACGAGTCCTCGTGGCCGCCGATGGGGCTCGCGTCTCCGGAGATGCCCGAGTCGCCGGACTTGTCGTGGCTGCCAATGCCCATGCCCCGCACGGGGTGACCTAGTCCACCAGGATGCGCCAGGTGACCCGGGAGGCCGCCGGCGGGCAGCGGCGCCGTGGGCCGCGACATGCGATGGATCCGTTCCTCCAGCTCCTCGACGACATCGTTCTCGCCGTCGATCGCTGGGCTGCCGTCGGCGCACAACGGCATGGGCAGCGGATACAGGCCGCCGGGCTGTGGCCCCCCGTCCAGCGAGGACAGCTGGCGCCACGCCGCCGTCGGCGAAAAACGAGGAACTTCCAGTCGCTTTTTGGGCAGCGTCGGCCTCAACTGGAGAGCGATGCCACCCAAGTTCTGAAAAAAAATGAAGGTAGAGATAAAACATATTTAGAAAACCCGGACTCTAACATCTTCCTGGTCGGACCGTCCTTACCTCGTCCTCGCGCTCCGCCTCGCTCGACATGCTGGCCGAGCCCGAGGTGGTGTGGGTCGTGGGGCCGGCCGAGGGCGCTCCCGGCCCCGGGACGCGCCTGATCTCCTGCGCGAAGCGCTCCACCTCGGCCGTGCGCCGCTCCCGGTCGCGCTCGCGCTCCCGCGCGCCGACAACCACCCCGGGGCCCTGGCCGGCCGACCCGGACCCGGCACCCGCCGAGGACGCGTCCTCGCTCGACATGCCGAAGTAGAACGTGCGCACCGGGACGTCCCGGTCTCGGCGGTCTGACCCGACGCCCGACGCCTTCGCCGGGGAGTTTGGCAGACTAAAACAAACCAGACAAAAATACGTATACCGCGAGGAAATTTCAACAATTGAGAACCAAGTTACAGTAAATTGTTTCGCGCTGTAGATTTACTAAGTCGTAAAGTTATTTTTAGTAAACAAAATCATCCATACATTTCCCAGTGCTTGGTGCCGCCGGTGCGGCGCCGTTGATCGTGCTCGTCTGAGTGCTTCGAGTTGACGGGCTCCGGGGTGGACTCTCTGCCCGAGCCCTCGCCCCGCCGATTGCTGTCCTCGGAGCGCGCCCGGCCGACTCGGCCCCGCCCGTTTACGCTGTAAGAAAAGGAAGATGTGTTAAACAAAAGTGTTAAACTGAAGTTAAAAAATGCGACGAAGTTCATTGAAATAAATGTGCTCCAGTTTAAACAAATATCCCTCCTATCAGCGTCACAACTTGCAGCCCATCCTGCACAGCAGACGTTACACTCACCGGCCGATGGCGTCCGCGGACTTGCCCCTGGTGATATGACTAGGCCTCGGCACCACCATGGAGGGCTTGGCGTCGGCGTGGTCCTCACCGACGGGACCCTCCCGCTCGCGACTAGGCAGGGGCGTAGGCCCCAGGTTGGTCCTCAGCTTGCGCGCCACCTCCAGAAGCTCCGCCTGCGACACGAAACAAGTGTTTGTAATTTAAGCAGATCATAGATTTATTGCACTCGATTGATAACTAAACAAAGAAATCATACAAAACAGTTGACTGACAGTTTTATTTCTTTGTGAGGAAAACGCCCCAAGCCAAGCAAGTGTATTTACGGGATATTGCGTGTAGGTAAACAACCGCAGCAATTTGTGGGTTACCTGGAACTCGGGCGTGGAAAGGCTTCTCTGCAGCGCGGGCCTCCTGGTCGAGGGCGGGGACGCCGAGGGCGACTCCCTGCTCCGGCCCCGGTGGGGCATGACCGCCCCCGCGGGCGCCGGGCCCCCGCCGCCCACCCCGTTCTGGTTGTTGCGCTTGGTCTCGGCGCGCGTCTTGAACAGCCGGTTCCTCCTCGTCGGCATCCTCGAGTCCCGCGGGTCTCTGGGGTCGCCGCCGTCGCCGTGGGCCGCCCGCTCCCACTGGTACGAGTCCGGCGAAGAGCTGTCCAGCTGCAGAAGAGAGCGATGAGTTAGAGGGCCGCGGTCAGCGGGGCGTGTCCGCGCGTCTCGCCCAGGACGTCGTCGTGGAAGTGACGTACTACTCACCCCGGTGGTGCCTGGCGGCGGCGCCGGCGCCTTGTACTTCTTCCTGGACCTGCTGATCCGCAGCTTGGCGGGCGAGTCGTCGCGCATGTCCCGGTGGTCGCGGTGGTCCCGGTGGCCGCCGCGCTCCCTCGATGGGTCCCTGGACGACGGCCTCATCTCCTTGGGCAGCCGCAGGTCCGGCTCGCTCCCGTACTGCGCCATCCCGCCGCCGTGGCCGCCGTGGCCCCCGCGGGGCAGGCCGTGGCTGCTGCCGCCCTCGCCGCCGCTCGTGTAGCCGCCGCCGCCGCCACCGCCGCGGGACCCGTAGCCGCCCTGGTGGCGCCGGTCGCGCTCGCGCTCGCGGTGGTGCGACTGGCTACGCGCGCGGTACAGTCCCGTCGCTGGCCCCGGCCGCACATCCTGCTGAAGAAAAGGTAGACTTAGTTCAGACCGTCCATGCTTCAGAGGGTGCAATTTCACCATATTGTCTCCCAAGAGACCATCACCCCGATCGGGCGCAAAAGGGTGGGCCGTGGTAAAGCGCTCCTCACCTTGAAGTCCTCGGCGGCGTGCCGGCGGCCGCTGATGGTGCCGCCCGAGTGCAGGATGTCACCATTCTCGGTGCGGTGCAGGCGCGTGCCGGGCCCCAGGGGCACGGGCAGCACCTTGCAGTGCTCGGGCAGCATGGACGGCCGGCCGCCGGGGCCGCCCGACGCGCCGCCGACGACATCCCCGCCGCTGGCCGTGCGCCGCAGGTCGCGCGGGAAGGAGTGCGCCCAGTGCGCGCGCGGCCCCTGCTGCGGGTGGCCCGGGTGGTGGCCCTGCGGCGGCCCGGGGGAGTGCTGGTGGGTCAGCTGGTGGGCCTGCGAGTGTGAGGCCCCCATGGCGGCGCGGGCCTTCGAGCATGCCTAGCGGCTCCTCCCTGAAACACAACGGGAAAACGAAAACCATGTCAAAGCAGTCCTGAAGAGGTGTTACGGGGGAGACTGTAAGTACACCTTTTAGGACACCGAACGTGCAGTTTGGGCGCAACCGCGCACGACCTCGGTAACCGCCCCCCCCTCCCCACTCTTTCCACCCGCACACAGAACAGGTGCGGGCGACAACCGGACGAGCATCCCAAGGCTCCCGGGGACCAGGTCGACCAGCGCACCGCACTAGCAGCAGCTCAGAGGCACGAGTGGTGTGGAGGTTGTTATGAACCTGATCATGACCGAAGGAAGGGATATCTATATTCTTGCCTAGAAAACACCGCTTTGGTCCTTTTCAATGTTCCTTGACACCCCCATCACACAGACAAGCCGACGGCGGTACGTTTTATCGGCACCGCCTCCATGGGACGGTCGTCTCGTCATGCCGGAGATCGTCCCTAAATGCCCCCTCGGCCGCACCTGGCCGCCGGCGCGGCCGGGCTGGCTTGACACGGACCTCGGGCAGACGACCGGATCGACGATCGACGGGGATCGACCGATCGACCCCGCGGCCAAACGACGGCCAACTGAGATTAGTGCCGAGTGGATCCGCCTCGCCGGCGCGCTAGTGAGGGGCGCGGGGAGGGCGGCGAGGACGCGCCTGGCCGGGGCGGGGTCGGGGCGATGGAGTGGCGATATCCTCTCGGGGGGAAAGGGAGGAGGCGGAGGAGACGGGTTTGCACCTCCATCTTGTCCTCATCTAGCCGCGTCCGAAAGGAGAACACAAAGGCCGACTGCGGCGACAGAGCAGGGCAGGCAGGCAGCCATCGGGGCGAAGTAGCGTCTCTTATCGGCGTCGAAAAATGTTCGATCGGAGTGCCGCCATTCGCTGAGGAGGAGAGGCCGCGGGAAGGGAACCTAGTCGGCGAGGCGCAGGGCTGGCGCTGCTGCGAGGCAGGTCGCGGCGTGGCGGCGCCGAGCGGAGCGGCGGAGCAGGGAGAGGAAGGAAGAGTTGAATGGCTCATTCTAGGAAAACTAAACCGTTGTCGTCGTCCCGTCTCGACCCGTCCCATCCCATCCCGTCCCCCCGCGCTCCCTTCGCTCTTCGCCCAGGGGGGCAGAAGGGGGTGGAGGAGAGGACTGGGAAGCGGAGAGAGAGAGAGAGAAAAACGCGAGTAAAAACAAAAGGACCGCGGCGCGGCGCCCTTCGCGAAAGTCTATCGTGCCAACTGACTTGTCGACCGGCGCACACTTCACCCGCGCGGCCATTTCATTCGCGTTCACTTCCCAGCCCCGCGAGTCATTGACACCCTTTCCGATTCGATGAGAGGGGAAAACAAACAACACCAACGGCCAACAAAAACAACAAAAAGGAAAACAAGCAACCCCAGGAGCCGACCGGCGAACATCATTGTCGTCTCCGACCCTTCCTGTACCAAATCATCGCCGTTCGGGGTTGCGGGTAAGGGGAAGGGGGGGTTGAACGAGGGCGGGGGTAGGGGGAGACAGAGAGATCGTCGGGAATGTCATAACAGCGGCGGTAGTCCGTCCCATCCGCCCGTGCGATATGAGGTGGCGCTGTCTTCCTTGCTCGTTCGAGTGTGTCGTTGTGCATTCTGCCCTCCTTCACCACATGCCCCCGTCTCTCTCTCTCTCACTCCTCATTCCGCACATTCTGGCTCGCTCGCTCCCTTATACTCCTCCTCCCACTCTGCTACTGCTCTGCCCTGCTGCAGCTGAAGCAAGACGTGTTCCCCCCTAATCTGTGTCAGAGTCGTGGCATACACACACGTCGTCGTAGGCGGCACACACACACATACATACACGCGACAAATCTGCCCCCTGCCCCCCGCAGAAGCAGTGCATCGCGCGTGGACAGGGGAAAGGAAAATGGAGCGGAACTTCGGTTTGTGTGTGTGTGTGTGTCTGAGAGAGTGACTTTCGCACAACTTCCGGCGACCGAGTCCTGTCAATGTCTCGTCACGATAGAGAGCCCCCCGCGCCCGGCCCTTCATACGGCATATGAAGCATGCATGCGTGATTTGGTAACAAAACAAAGGGTGTGTGTGTGTGTTGCTGGGCGGTATTGCGACGTCGAGCGGACGTGTACCTCACGCTCTCTCCTCCACCCTCCTTCTCTCTCTCTCCGATGATGAAAGGGAAATGCACGTGTGGAGGGCAGAGGGGGGAGGTGAGGGCAGGAGGAGGTACGTGGTTTTTGACATTATGAACTCTTCTCCCCTCACTTCTTTACCAGTTCGCGCTCACATCTCGATAAGAAGAAACCGAGCGGGTTATGAGAGGTAAGGAGGTCGGTCTGTCTCGGCGCGCGCCTCACACACTCACACACACACGCACACACACACACACACACACACACACACACACTTGCACGCCACCCACGGGCGTAACGTCCTCATCTCATCATGCACCGCCCCACTCTGCTGCCACCCACTCTCCCCCCCCCTCTCCCTCTCTCCCTCTCTCTCTCTCTCTCTCTCTCTCTCTCTCTCCCCCCCCCCCTCTCCTACTTCTTCCCTTCGCAGAGTCATCAGCATAATCATCATCATCGTGTCATGAACATTATCACCATATGTCATATGAACATTATCACCATATGTCATATGAACATTATCATCATCATGTTCGGCAACATTATCGTTCCCGTCCATCTTTGTTGTTATGCGGTCGTCTGGTTGTCTAATGATGATGTCTAGGAGCGGGCCAACCCGTTGTGCGCGCCTGTCGGCTGGGTTGCCTATGGCGTGGACCGCAAGCGCGGCGGGAGGAGAGAGAGAGCGAGAGAGCGATACGACGAGTACTGCTGAGCCGGTCGAAACCGGAGATAACACACCGAGAAGAAAAAGGGGAATGCCATATGAAATCGATCCGGAGAACACGGCGAATCGTAGGAGGTGCGACATAGAATGAGAGGGAAAAGCGGTGAGGAGGGGGAGACAGAAAGGGAGAGAGAGAAAGAGAGACACGTACCGACCATGTAGGGAGGGAAACGCACCGGTCCCCCGAGCCGGCCGGCCGGTAGGCTGACAGCCCGGCACAGAATGAGTGACTGTGGATCACTTTGCGGGGGTCACTCCTTCGGTCCAGGCCGCTCGCGCGCGCCGCCGCGCCTCGTCAGGTGGCCCCCCGTCGTCGCGGCCCGTCACATTTGGTGGCTATGGCGCTGTACCGCGGGCCAAGCTCGGCCCACCCACGAGCCTCTCTCAGCCGCACCACACTACTATACACCACAGCAGCAGCCAGCTCTGCCGCGGCGACCGCAGAAGCACCAGTAATGCGTGGGTGGAACGAGTACCAAAAGGATGAGGCACCCGCGGCGCTTGAACCCCGCTGCGCGAGGCGAGGGGGAGGGAAGGGGACCGACCAGACATCAAAAAAGCTACCTACCCGGTGTGCTCCGAGCATGAAGAAAAAAGTAAGCACTTGATGAGGACTTGACAAAAACACAAGCAGAAGGAGAGCGGGGGTTAGAGACACTGCGTCCGAGTATGCAATAATTGTGTGTGTGTGTACAGTGCAGTGACACCAGCAGCAAACACACCGCGAATCGTCGCCACGCCGTCGCCGCCGCCACCGCCGCCTTCCTCACACCTGTTCGACGGGCTTCGCCTCTCTTTGGTTTCACTTTCCACACCCCGCGACACCGCCGCAAGCGCCGAGCGCAGCTGCAGCTGCTGCGGCGGTGGTGCAGGCTATGCAGCTGCAAGGCGCCCCACCGCGGAGCCGAGCCTAGCCGGGCCCCCCTGCGGGCCTATTGTTTATTGTCACCGCGGACAATAAGGGATCGGCTCCCCCCCCCCTTCACCTCCATCCCCCACCTCTACCCCTATCTCTTACGACGTCCATTTC